GCTATGAGTCGCAAGCGACTCGACGGCACATAACAACAACAACAACAACAATCATGGCTTTGAAGACTAACAACACAGGAAGTAGGCACAATATGAAACTATATGCCCACATATGAAGTTAACCAGGGTGGATCAAGAGACCAGGGTAAATGGCTGTATTTCAGCAACGATGAGGGGCTGTTTGCATTTTTCTTTCGCGCTCTACTTTTTTTCATTTCTCTGATTTTCTAGAAATTTACTTTCTTTTTCTTTTTTACAAATACAGTTTCTCCAACAACATTTTTCACTGGAGAAAAGAAATATGACAAAACATACGCCAATTACCACTTTGAATACACTTCTTTTAAATGAGGAGAAAATGATAGACACAATGAAAAGGGCTGTTTTCTTCTCTCAGAGGCAGCCCATGTGCACGGGGCCAAGCTGTCCTCCTATGCTGAGTGAGTTATTATTCTGTGTAGAGCACTAGAGAGACGCAGCATCACTCAGGCGCGATGGCGTCCCAGCTCCTGAGAGCCCATTTTGCTCTTGGAGATGGGTCTGTGCCCATATGTTCTGATGCTTCAATCTCAACAATGAATGAAAGGACCCAACACAGGTGCTTATGTAACCAGGTTAAAACTGGGAGTGCTTGTGCACAGAGACTCAATTACCTCTGTTACAAAGGGCTCTTCTCTCTCTGCTGGGAGAGGCATCTGTCAAAAGAGAAATTCCCATCTTGTTCAGCTATTCTTTATCCACCCAAACAAAAACAGGCCCAGGGAAATGCCAGGCAAGTCTCACGAAGCCAGGGTTCAGACTTCCTGGGAAACTTGTCTTGAAATCAGAAGTCAAATTCCTGGCTCCTGTCAGCTTGGACAGATATCTTCCCTGCCAATCAAGGGCCACACATTGACTGCTCGGCACTTTGAGGTCAGACAGAGGCCTTCATTCTGAGTCTTCTTTTCAAAAGGGTGAGTACGACGAAAGAGTTTTATTTTCCACTCTGAACTTAAGAAAGGAAATCTGGAGCCTATCTCTTTCTAGCTTATCTCACAGGCAGCCAGGACAGTCCAGGTGAGTCGCCCAACACTACTCATTGGTTGCCTTTTCACCTCCACCTGCAAAACCACCTCCCCTTTTACTTGCCCCTGCTGGGACCCCGCCCCTCTACCAGGCCCCCCTCAAAGTGCTCTCCTCAAGGACACCCATTCTGTCTCCCTAAGGGGCCTGCTCCTTTCCTTCTAGGCAACTCTGCACCTCACTTGGGGCATATTCCCAAATCCTTGAAGGATGAAGACAGGTGGTGGGAGGATACTGGCCTTTGTTACTGGAGAGGCTTGGACCTGGGACACAGGCCCATCCCTTCAGTGACACCTCTGGTAGCAAGAAATGACTCTCAGTGGCTTGAGATTCTCAGCTGAAGAGTGCAAAATATAACAACTTTCTTGTAGGATTTTCTTTAGTAAATTATCTAAGAAAATCTAGGTGAAGGGCCTAGTGGTATACTCAGTAAATGACAGTTTCCTTCAACACCGGCATGGATAACTCTGCCATATAAAGTCATTCTGTGTTTCTACTATCATTCTCTCCACCCAGTATGCGCGCGCGCACACACACACACACACACACACACACACACACACACATGACTACAAACTCTGTACACTGTGTTTTACTCATCTTTATAATCACACAGCAGTTTCCAAGACTGAAATTTTTGTGGAAGCAGATTCCAAGACTTTTCTCCTGCAGAGTCACTGATGGGTTTGAACTGCCAACCTTTCAGAGCTTGCTGAGAGCTTAACTGTTGCACCACCAGTTCTTCTTTGATATATCAAAGTCTAAAACCAAACCCACCATGATAAGACTTCATTCTAACTCATCAAGACCCTACAAGACTGAGCAGAACTGGCTTAGAGGGCATCCAAGGCTGTAGTCTTTTTGGAAGTGGACAGCGGTGTCTTTAACTTAGAGGAATGGCTGGTGGGTTCGAACCAGTGAATTGACCAGTTAGCAGTCAAGCACTTAACCATTGTGCTACCAGAGTTCCTTGAATCTAGAGAGAATGCATCAAATCATACTTGTAGAAAAAGTAATTGGTAGACTAAACATATCCAAGACATTAAAAACTATGGATGTGAGAGCCAGAAAGCCAGCTGGCTTCCCGCCCGCCCCCCAAGAGTGAAAATAAACAAAGAAAGCACCAGTGAGCATTACTTGATGAGGAACAACTTAATTACAAGTAGAAACATCAAAGTCCCACATCCCAGCAAACACACAAATGTGTCCTTCAGTCAAATGATGGCTCCGTCACTTCCCCACACCCTCCATAACCATCCTATTACCTTCTAGCCTTTGAATCTCCTCAGCTGTCACTTCCAGTGTTTGATCAGACAGGGAAGCAACTTGGATGACCTGAGAGAAGAAAGAGCGACATGTGGGGATGTGTGTAGGTGCGTTTAAGCAGAGGCAATTCCGACTTTAATACAAGATGGAAAACATCAAACATCAAAGATCTCCTGTTTGGAAAAAAGCTTCCAATGCCTGCAACTGGAGCCTGAATCTCAGGTCCCTTCACTCTGGGGGCAGTAATTACATTGCAGATAATCATTTCAGAAGTAAAGATTAATTTAAAACATTACACGATTAACTTAAAAAGTCCAAAAGGACAATTTAGGAGAAGAAAGAATTTTAAAACGACATTTGCATGTACTCTGAGGCATACAAGTTATATTTTTGACTCTGTAATGCTGACCTGTGAAAATAATATGTCATTTCATCCACAACTCTGCATGCGATATGGAAATAAGTGTAATTATGACTATATGAGTGACACTACTGTGATGGACTGACTCAGTGACTGGGGTAATGGGGTAGGTGTGTCAGAGACAATGAGATTGGCTCAGGACAGAGCAGGGTTCAGAGCTGTTGTACACGGGGTCACTATGAGTCATAAATGACTCGATGGCACATAACAACAACAACTGTTGTTGTACTGGGGATCAGTGAATCAGATCCAACCCACGGTGATCGTGCATATAACAGCTGGAAACCCAGCCCCATCTCATGCCATCCTCACAATCTCTGCCACATCTATGCCCGCGGTTGTACCCAGTCTCTGTCTTTGAAGGTCTTTTTCCTCTTTTTTTTCTTTTCTCCATCTATTCTTTTTTTAAATTTTATTAATTTTAATGAACATTTACAGAGATTTTGGATTTCCGTTCATTCATTGCCGCACTTTTCTCCCTGCCCACCCCTCCCCCTTTTCCCTCTTTTCCACAGGCTCTCTACCCTTCACCAAGCATGAGGCTCTTGTCTAAGGCCTGCTTCCTCTTGAAAACATGCCCCCAAATACGTAAGATGAAGCTGATCTATCTTTGCTTTTAAGAGACAATCTGGCTGTACTTCTAAGAGATTTGTTTGTTCTTTTGGCAACCCCAGGTATAGTCAATAGTCTTTGCCAACATCATAATTAAAGCAATTTTCTTATTCAAAAGATTCAGGATCCAAAAGGAGTTATGCCAACGTGACTCTTTAAGGCGACTGGTCTGTAATTTCAAATTAAGGGAGAAAGTGACTTGCCCAAAGTAGCAAAACTGTTGATGGGAGAAGAATCTAGAAAGGCAATCAGTCATAGGGAGAAAGGGAGATAAGGGGGCTTCCATAAAAAACAATGCCCAAGTGACCCAGACCCTACATAGTAAATTAACTATACAAGGAAATAGAAAACAGACATCATAAATTTGATAAAGGGAAAAGTAGAAGATATTTTACTTTACAGAAAAGTCTCCTACCACTCTTGTGCAAACGCACCCACCATATATCCTCCCCACAGATGAAACACAAGAATCTGAAGGAATCCCTCTGTAAACATTCCACAGAGTGGAATTTCGAAACACTCACATGAACAGCATAAATGAGACTTTCTGCTCACCAATGGAAGCTCAGGAAACTTACCAGCTGGGCAAAAGTTGTAACTTTAAGTCTCTTGAAAAGCTCATCTTTTTTGTATCTGTAATCTGAAAAACAGGGCAGAAGAAATGTTTTCCTAAATTTATTTTGTTTTCATAGAACCACTCATTCCTTTGAGTCTTAGCTGAGACATTGTTTCCTCAATATGCTCTTTTAAAATCCATACTTTCTTGTTTTATCTACATGGCAACTTCAAAATCGGGGTGTGATAGTTTTTATGATCACATCTTCATGTTCTCTCTTTGTTTTGGGTATCAAGAAGCCATAGATAAATGTTTTAAGGACATTTTTATGTCTGGTGACTCGTCCTATCCTACATTTTATTAGTCTTCCATTTCCTCTTCCTACAATGTTTCTACTTTTACTAGAGTGTAATGTATTCTTTTTTGTTAAACTTGCCTTGGATACTTTCTTGGAACCCAGCGTGGAGTGCATGTCTGCCATCTGAAAATGAGGACAGGCCCGAGAAACTGGGCAGTCTTTGTTCACTCTGCTGGCAGGACATACACACGAACATAATCCTGATTTTGGGCCGAAAAGAGCAGTACTGAGGCAATGCGGGATGCTAGAGACTCAGGAAAGAAGACCCTCCCAAGCCCAGGATACGAAGCTAGGCACAGAATTATGACCGATCATGATAACTGCCCCCTCTCAGTGTCTCTCCAGCTCCAATTAAGATCAGCTCAAAACAGCAGTGTATCCTCCACGATGCCTGCACGCATGTATGGGGCCAAAACATGGACCAGAACAGACTGGAAGGCAACACGGCTTCTATGTTTACAGTTGTGAGACAGTCGAAGGAGGGTGCAGCACGCCTGTTAATAATTGGTCATGTTACATGAGACAGGGTTTTGAAATGGAGCCAATCTCACTTTATCTAGTAACTGTTCAGAGCTGCACATTAAGCACCAGCTTCTTTAGAACATTCTGAAGATGGATGTCAGTGGAAGACCTTCCGTCAGGGAATTCCTCCTCACACTCACCTCTCCCTTCTCAGTTTTCACAGTGGCAACCACATCTCCTTAAACATAACCTCATTATTTCAAAAGGACCAGAGGTTGGCTGGGCAACCCAGATGGTCATTAGACCCTCAAAGTCTCTTAAACCAAAGCTCCTAGCAACAGAGGAAAGGATTAAAGGTATTGAAGATTATTTACCTGGGATTACTAATCATTTCCCTGAATCTAGAACAAGAAAAAAGTCCCAGCATAGACAGAAAAGCTACTTTGCAGGTAATGTGACCTTGGTTTACCAAACACCTGAAGACTTAAGAGTCAGGAAATGATATTGCTTTGGAAACGTTGACCTTTCATAAATAGATCAAGACTCTCCTCAGAGAGAATTAAGGCTTCTCTGTCCTCAAAATGTCTTAAAGAGCAATTTTGCTAATGACTGATGGTTGCTACCAGAAAGTTCTTAGAGCAGCTGCTTCGGAATGCTGCCAGGTAAAAAGGAGCATCGAACTCCTGCCAGGGTGCAGCTCCCAGCAGGCCTGAGTAGAGGCTTTCTTGAAGCATAGCTGACCAACTACAGACTTCCACAACTAACAGCAACTTGCCCAGCCAGTTATTGATGTAAATCACAACAGCTATAAATCAGTCGATGAAAACAATCAACAGCTTTCAAGTCATCTGCACCACAACGACGTTTCTACGTAGACAGTCTCCTGCTATGTTTACACAGTTTGAAATATGTCTTCTCCACCCTCTACCTTCTCGGCACAGACTGACCACGGGAAAGCCGCCTCTGACGAGCGCTTTACCTTAGACAAGACGCTGGCTTTGCTCTCGCCTTGTGACGGGTGTTTCTAACGTGCTCTGCACTAGCGACCCCGCTCTGAGCTCGACCCCACGTACCTGGTTCTGGTTTAGAAGGACAGCCGTCATTAGGATTTTCTGACATTATTACTCAGAGATAAAAGATCAAACTAGACGTCTGACAGCAAGCTGGAAATTTCTTCAAAGGGCTGACTTGGAAAGCTCTGTCTGTCTGTCCTCGCAAGAGCAGACACAACTTCAAGAATGGAGCTTCTTCCACGGTGGCTGTGCCCTAAACCCCACGGTGAAGACAAATACTCCGCCTTTCGGATATGTTATCAAATTTTGCTTCTCCAGTAAGTCTGGGGGCTCAGTCTGTCTCTCTCAAGTTACTGGAAGGACAGAGACCTGACTATCCAGGATGTTTCACAGGCAGTCCAACTAGTGTCATCTAACCACCAGGCACCGAGAATCGGCTTTGTGAAGCCTCAATAAACACAGACTGCCTTTTTGCCCAGGCGGAGTTGAAAGGCTATTCAGATTACAAAGTTTTTCTGCGTTTTCAGGGTTCTGTGAAAACGCGTTATTAGTAAAAGGGAAGCTGGGTTCACAGTGGAAGATAACTCGAAGGAAGTCAGAGAGCAAGGGTTGGGATTTCACACAAAGACACGGCTCCCAGGTAACTTGAGTCCAGGGATGGGTCTAGGGTGTCGTGAAACAAGACAACATTCTCCTCCCTGTTGACCCAAAAGAACACTTCTAAGAGAAGAGGGTGGAAGAGAAGGAAATAGCTTCCAGAACAAAGATCCCACACTAGGAAGGGGCAGTAATTCTGGTCAGGCACTCTGCACAAAGCGTGTGAAACGAGGTGAGCAGGTACCTCCTGTCACAGTGAAAGGAAGCCATGGCTCCTGAGGGCAGCTGAGGGAGCCCTTCTGAGGGCTCCGTCCTAGAGGTGCTGCTGGGGAGATAATCACCACTTCAAGGTTGGGCTATCTGAGTAACCATGTTGTAATTTTCAGAAACGTCTTCAATAGAGTTTTGGCCAGGTGGACCCAATGGGACGGTTTTTTTTATGAGGCAAGTTTCTTGTGTGGCCCTGTGAGCTCACCTCGGAGACCAAAGGATGGGTCTAAATGACACACCAACACAGACGCAAGCCAGCTGAATTAAGGACGACAACCAAACAGGTGAGTACACAAGATCAGCCTCTTGGTTTAAAAATGTAATGTATGTAAAAAAAAAGGAATGTATGTATTATATAGAATCTTTGGAAGAACATATATACACTGAAAACTATTTATATAGTATATGAAATGCATAAGGAGAAAAGAAGATACTATGATATTCTACATTTTTTTTTTAAAAAAGCTACAGTGTTACTCCTCAGAGTAACAGAGATGAAAATGGCAAATAAAAACAGATTTGGCATAAAGTTGCTTCTGAATCCACATCTACTACGAAGAGTCTTCCAATCATCATCCTGTTAAAGGGAGCTCTGGTGGCCTAGTGGCAAGAAGCTGCGCTGCAATCCCGAAAGCATGTGGTTCGAGGCCACCAGCAGCTTCACGGGAGAAGGATGAGCGATCTCCCACCCGTTCGATTCATTGCCTCTGACAAGCGGCCAGAGGGTCAGCTATGGGTCTGTTCCAACTCCGTGGTACACAACAACATCATCCTGTGAAAGTGAAAGGCCTATTGTACATATTTCTTTAAGTTATAGAGTATTCAGGATTTATAATATTCTCCTGAAAGAGAGTATTCCCAGAGCCGAGTCCTGCCTTGCCATCCCATAACTATCACAAAGCAGACGTTTCTCCTCCTCCTCTGACCCTGTTCTTGATACGTACCTGGGTTCCACTGAGATCAGCTATGGACACAGAACAAGGACAACTTTTTTGCAAGGGCCTACACTCAAGGACTGGTAGGATTTTTTGCATAAAATTAGTATGAAAAAAGGCTGCGAATGAAATACGACTTTTAATTAAAAGAAGACCAAACTGCAGTGAGTCCACAATGCCTAACACCATTTCAGGAACAACTTCTTTTCTCACACCTCTAATGCATTCATGAATACTCTCTAATTTATATGGAAAGGGATGCTGGGGAAGAGACATCATTACTTTATCTCAGGTATAGAGAAAATAAGGTGACAGCGAAGATGAAGTACCTTGAAAAATGTCGTGAAGACCTCAGCACAGTGAAAGAAGGTGCTTGGAGTCTGACTGCTAAACGAGAGCTCCGTACCCCCAGCTCTCACTCCACCTTTCTACATTAATACTGCTCACAGCACAGGCTGGTGCAAATGATAGGTGGCCTAGTGGTAAGAGATCACGCTGCCAAATCAAAGGTACATGGTTCGAATCTACCAGTGGTTCTGAGGGAGAAAAATAGGCAATCTCCTCCCATGCGATCTGCTGCCTCTGAAAACTAGTTCTATCTTGATGACAACACTACCCTCAAGGCTGGCAGTCCAAACCCACCCAGAGCCATCAGAGGAGTAAGTCCGGAGCCCTGCGTCTGTCCGATGGAGCAGTTCTTCTCTGTCATACCTGAGGCACCATGAGTTGAGATTGACTCCAAGCCAACAAGGACTTGTTTGGTTTTGGCATGACTGTGGGCTGAGCAGAACGTAGACCCCCGGCCCGAATCTTAGCCGCTGGGGATGATGATCACAGAGCTCCCCTGGTCCTGGACCACAGCCAGGCTCCTCTGTCTCCACAGCTCCAACCGTCACGACGTCAGGGAGGTCTCAGGAGCTACACCTGCAGTGAGCGTTTGCCACAGCGAGGGTTATCAATCAACACACAACTTACACCAATAGTTAGTACTCACTTTTCTTGATCTCTTCTAGCTTCTCTGTGTATTTCGTGATGCTGCTGCCTAGAAATAGAACAAGAAACAGGTAGTGACGAGGGCTGTACGACAGCACGCATGTAATGAAGGTCATGGACTGTACCTGTAAAACCACGTTTGAATAACAAATGTTCACTAACAATGCTTTTAGCATGATGCTTTAAAGAGGTACACCAAAAGCAACAGTTACGAGTGAAATATTCTAATGCATAAGGGAGAAAAGCCCAATCGTTCTTGAGTCATTTATTTCAGATGATTTAACCTTGACCTCCAATTCTCATTATTAAGTCAACTGCATAAAAACCACCATCAGAGAATGATTACAACACAACAGGTACTCAGTTAACACCTGGCGAATTCTTTTCCCCCCTCTGTTTGGGAAGAGAATAGGCTAAGAGTGGATAGATAATGAACACTGCACTGAAACATAGGAAGGAAATAACTGTTTCAAAGGAATAAGGGATTAGGCATTATATGTATGACAACAGCCCAGAATAAGAAGTACACTACTAAGAGGAATGGGCAGGGGGGCAGGGAGGTAACTGTGAAACAATAATTATTTTTAAAAAAAGTGAACTGGGAGAGGAGAAAGAGAGAGAGGGTGATAAAAATGCGCAACAATGCCCATCAACAAAC